TCTAGAGTCTCCACATCTTTTTTACATCGTGGCGACCAAAACTGAATGCAGGATTCCAAGTGTGGCCTTATCAAGGCATTTATCAAGTGGTATTAACCCTTCACGGGATCTTGATTCTATCCCTCTGTTTTTGAGCAACATTAACTGGATTTCTTGCCATTCTCCCTTGTGTTCATTCTCCTGCTAGTATTTAGAATCGGAATAGAGCTAGAAGGGGCCTTGGAGGTCTTCTAGTCCGACCCCATGCTCAGGCAAGAGAACCCATACCATTTCAGACAATAGTTTAATCAATCAGAATAGATTTGGAAGGGACCTGGGAGGTCTTCTAGTCCCACCCCCTAGTGGTATGGAGCCTCAGGCGGGAGGCCCCATACCATTTCAAACAAGTGGTTGTCCAGTCTCTTCTTAAAAAACCCCAGCGATGGATCACCCACAACCTCTGGTGGCAAGCGGTTCCACTGGTTAATTGTCCCCCCTGCCAGGAAGTTTCTCTTTAATTCCAAGTTGCTTCTCTCCTTGATTAGCTTCCATCCGTTGTTTCTTGTCTTTTCTTTTCTCCACAATACTTGCTCCTGATCCGAGTCCAATTCTCTATCCGGCATCATCAATAATAAAAAATGTACATTTTCTTTCTTTCGCTCTTTCACTTTTCCCAGCAGGATGGGGAAACCATGAGAAAGAAGGACTGGGGGGTGTGTGTGACATGGTAGCAGTCACCCAATATTTGAGGGGCTGCCCCAAAGAAGAGGGGAGGGGGGGGTCAACCTGTTCTCCAAATCACTTGATGACAGGACATGAAGCAACGGGTGGAAGCCAATCAAGGAGAGAAGCATTAAGAATTAAGGAGAAGCTTCCTGACAGGGAGGACAATTAGCCAGTGGAACAGCTTCCCACCAGAAGTTGTGGGTGCTCCCATCACTTCTGGTGGCAAGCGGTTCCACTGGTTAATTGTCCTCACTGCCAGGAAGTTTCTCCAGGAGGTTTTTAAGAAGAGACTGGACGGGCCTCTGTCTGGAATGGTCTGGGCAGGTTCTCCTGCATGAACAGGGGGCTGGACTAGAAGATCTCCAAGGCCCCTTCCAGCTGTATTCTGTATTCAATTGGACTTTGTGCATCAACCTGATGTCCCTGTGCCTTAATTTGTCTTAATCCCCTTCCTCCCTCATCTTCTGTTGGCTTTATTATTTATTTGATTGTTTACTTATTTATTTACTTACTTATTTTGCTGGCTGGGGAATTCTGGGAGTTGAAGTGGTCCAGGGGGAGAAACTGCCAGTTGGTTCTCCTCGGGGGTCCATTCTTGTAAGGGGCTCTCCACAATACAGGTAGTCCTTGGCTTACAACAGTTTGTTTAGCGACCAAACCGCCCTGACCAAAGGGGCTTAGGGCCGTTTTTTTTCACGCACAGCATCCCCGTGGCCACCTGATCAGAATTCCTGGCAACTGGCTCATATTTACGACGGTTGCTGGGATCAGGTGATCCCCTTTTGCGACCTCCTGACACACAAAGCCCATGGGGAAGCCAGGTTCACTTAACAACCGGGTGTCTGGCCTAACCCCTGCAGTGATTCGCTTAACAGCCGTGTGTCAAGAAAGGTCTTAAAATGGGGACAAAGGCCCACTTCACGTCTCCCTTAGCCACACAAATTTTGGCCTCAACGGTGGTCGTAAGTCGAGGACCACCTGCAGCCCCATCTCCACATCTTCCAGAGGTGTTCAACCAGGAAGCCCCCATGTGGGCTGAGATGAAGAGGAATCTTCTTCTCTTCTGCAGTGCCTCTCCTCGGCCAACGTCTTCGAACTGGTAGGGAAGACCGCCTCCGGAGAGGTCAACCTGACGTCCGTGGAGCTGCTGACCTTCTCGGCAGGGCTGGTCTTCTACTTCTCTGACCCTGCGGATGCCTGCGAGGCCATGGCCAAGAAACAGTGGGTGGCTGAGGTCCACGATTTCCAAAACAAGTTCTTCAACGGGAGCCCTTTGGCCGGACCCAACCGGGAGAAAGTTGCCCAGCAAATGCTTCTCATCCAGAAGAACGTCAAGTCCGTCAAGAAAGAGGAGGTAAGGGGGCAGCGGAGGGGCCGTAGCTGGCGTGGGAAGGGTCCCAAGTGAGAGATGTCCCCATAGAGGGGTCGGCATTGGGAGGCTGCTTGAGATGCAACCAGGGGTGGGATTCAGTCAGTTCGGACCAGTTTGAGTGAACCGGATGTTAATTTCAATCTGGTTCGCTGAACTGGTAGTTGCGAGGACTGGCTGGCCCCACCCCACCCTGCCCAGGAGTCTCCGCGTGGCCTGTTTTCGATGCCAGGTAAGTGGAGGCTCTGGGTGCGCGGAAAATGTGTCTCCAGGAAGTTTGAGAAGTCCAGAAATGGGCCTGTTTCCAACCTCCAGAGGGCCTCCTATTCTATTCTGCTATTCTATTCTATTCCATTCTATTCTCTGTTCTATTCTAATTCTTATTCTCTATTCTATTCTAATTCTTGTTCTCTATTCTATTCCATTCCATTCTGCATTTTATTCTATTCTATTTTATTCTGCAATTCTATTCTATTCTGCATTCCTTTTCTATTCTATTCCTCTATTCTTCTCTTTTCTATTCTATTCTGCATTCCATTCTGCATTCTATTCTGTTCTCTGTTCTGTTCTAATTCTTGTTCTCTATTCTATTCTATTCTATTCTATTCTATTCTATTCTATTCTATTCTATTCCATTCTGCATTCTATTCTATTCTATTCATTCTGCATTTCTATTCTATTCTTCTATTCTTCTATTCTATTCTGCATTCTATTCTATTCTCTGTTGTATTCTAATTCTTATTCTCTATTCTATTCTAATTCTTGTTCTCTATTCTATTCTATTCTATTCTATTCCATTCTGCATTCTATTCTATTCTATTCATTCTGCATTTCTATTCTATTCTATTCTTCTATTCTTCTATTCTATTCTGCATTCTATTCTATTCTCTGTTGTATTCTAATTCTT